AAATGTAAAAATCAAAAGTCAATAAAAAGTTATCCAATTTATATAATATTTTCAAAATATATGTATTTTACTCTTCTAAACAACTTTCACTTAATAAGGTAAATCGATTTACTTAGTAAAATATTGACTTTACTATATAGTAACTATTGATAATTATATAAATAACTTATTTTTAAATCTAAGAAGTTTTTATATTTTTCTTCTAAAAAAAGAAAATACCTTATTATTGGAAGTAAATTATTTTTGACAATATATAATATATATATATAAGAGAGGTGCTGCTATTGTGGTGAATGTGGGTATTATGGCGAATTGAATATACTACAAGGAAACAGTATTTTTTTACTAAGCAAATCGATCTTCATCCACTAAGTAAAGTTATTAGAAATAGCATTTTTTAGTTACTTTCAAATTTTGATGCGATTCGGCTAACTTTTCTTTAATCAACATTTATGTTATTCATCTTAAAGCAAAAAATTTATCTTCTTCGCCAAAACGTAAAATGTAAAACTTGATTAAAGAAAAGTTAACCAAATCGTATCAAAATTTAAAGGTATCTAAAAAATGGTATTTCTAATAACTTTACTTAGTGGACGAAGTTCGATTTGTTTGGTAAAAAATCCAACTTTATATACAACAATTAATAGCCAAAGAAAATTAATATACATTATGTATTATGATAGTAATAATCACATTCATATACAAAAATCATGCTTGTTCATTTTATATCGACATTAATTACTTTTTTTTTCTTAAATACCACAAGCATAATTAAAATTTTTTCTTTAATTGTAAAAGCAAACCCAAATTTACTATAACTTTCTTCATAACAATTTTTTTAGAAATCGTTTACTTTACTGTATCTAAGCTTACTTTTTTTTTTTTTTTTTTACTATATCATTACAACTTATTAACTTACCTAGGCCAATATAAGAACAGTAATTTTGTTAAATATGATTTTAAACATATGTGAAACAGACTTGAAGCTATTGTGTAATCACAGTTTCGAGGAAAGGTAAAATTAATAGCAAAAACTTTTTGAGATTTAGACGTCAAGTATAATTGTAAATGTTTTATAGTAGTCTACCATTCATGAAGTTGACTTTCATATTAAATTATTATTATTGACTAAAAATATTATATTAATTTATATTTCAAGTAAAGGAAAATTGCGAATTCAATATACTTTATATAAACTATTAATCAGAATTTCGCAAACTAACTCAAGATACAACAACCAAAAAATATGGTCACAAATGAATATATGATGGTACTTGAGTTTTATTATAAAGGTTTTAAAGCGAGTCAATTATAATTATATTATATGAAAGATTCTTATTAATTTTATCTTGAGGAGAGTGATTGTGATCACACCGTTGTTCTGAGATAAGTTGATTATAGTCATATCATATGAAGGATTCTCATTAATTTCTTTTTCATGAGATCTTTTGTTTTTTAATTCATAACTAACTGCTTCATAAGATTCGCTTCTTTCAAGAACAGCTGCTTGGCCTCTTTTAACCACAAAAAATTTATTATCTGTAACTTTAATTTTATTTTCTTTTAATCTTTCATTATACACTACCTTCTCTATGCTTTCTCTATGCTTGAAAATGTGAAATTTAATAGGTAGTTTCATTTTTTAATAGCAACGTCGAGGTGGCATTTGTTCGTTATATAAAGGGTATTGATAAATCAACTAAAAAAAACTTGCAGATTTTGTCTAGAGATATGGTCAATTTTATAACAAATTATTATTAAAACTATAAATAAAAATTTTATTCCCTTATAAAAGAATCATTCTTCAATTATTCTGATTTATGTCTTCAGGTAGTATTTGGTCTTATGTAATTTCATAAAGTTTTATTACTTGAACAATAAAAAAAATCCTGAAAGTGTATAAGTCTAAATACTTTAGTCTACAGCAAAATATTTTTTGTTTGGTTAGATTTTTTTGTTAAAAATGATTTATTTAGATAACGAAGAAACATGATAAGAATAAGTAGACTATCAAAGTTATGAACAATAGTGATCGTAATTTTAAATTTGATAGTGCTTACTTTTTTTATTATATAAAATATCTTATATTCTTAATTGGTTTGATTTGATTATTAATATATCAAAACTGGTTAGCGGCTTAATTTATGTACATAGTAAAGTTGTAAGTCCAAATTTAGAAAGTTGAATTAATAAATGTCATTATTGAGATGTATACTTAAATTCAAAAAGAAAATCAAAACAAAAGCGCTATTACTCATTATTTTCTGTTTTCACATGAATAAAGTTAAACATCCATTATACAATTAGCAAGACAAAAGTCAATGGTCTAATTTGGAAAAGTGCCTTAATTAAAAATAAATAATTAGAGGTTTTTTTTTACTATATCATTTTAGCGATTAAAATTTATAATTGTTTAAATATTTTTATAAAATCATTCATGTTATTATAAATTTATATTCGCTATAGAAATTAACAAGACAAAAGGTCAACAGTTTAATTTGGAAAGGTAATTTACAAATAATTAAGAGATTTTTTTTATATATCATTTTAGCGATTAAAAAAATTGTAATTGTTTGATGATGTAATGCTTTTATTTGTTATTCATATTTAATAAAATAAAAATATAGTTACTTTTATTGTAAAAAAAAAAAAAAAAAAAAAATGCTGCTTTAAAATATTATAAAACTCCAAAATTCAATAGCTTTTTTGATTTTAAAGTATTAATAAAACCACAATTATTTTTATTAATACAGTCAGCTATTAAAATAAAAATGTTAGTAAACTCTATTAAAAAGACTAGAACCAAACACATAAAAAAAATAAATTTAAAAATCAAATTAAAAAAACCAAGACCGTATCTAAAAAGGCTTTTAACAACAAAATCATAAAGCTTAGTCATAAAGATCATTACGCCACAATTGAAGCTATCCTTAAAGAACTTGCAAGCTTTACGAAACCCAGTATAAATTTAACCAGCATAAGATTTGGAATTTCCAAGGCAACACTTAGACATGCTATTAAAAATGGTTTACCTATACGTCCTGGTCCTGAAACAATTCTAAGCAAATACAAAGAACAACAACTAGTAGACTATTGCAAGAATATACAAAGGTTGGGATTTGGTTTGTCAAAATCAGGGTGAACTATTGTGTTATAGAAATAGTGCATAACAACTATCGTGTCCATCTGTTTGCAACTAAAGGGTCTGGCAGAGCTTGTAAAATCATTTTTTAAAAGATCACTCAAATTTATCTTTTCAAATACCTTAAGCTTTATCGGAGGCATGTGCTCAAAGAGCAAATCTGATAGTTATCAAAGACTATTTTGATAAATTAGAAAAGATAATTAAGGAACATTCACTTACTTCAGACTGTATCTGAAATATGGATGAGACCAGATTTGTTATTGCTTCTCAAATCTAAAAAGTTCTTGTGAAAAAAGGTTAGTGTAGAAAATATTGGTTCAAATTAATAACTATTTACTTAATATGTTTAAAATTATTAAAATTAATTAATATATACTGTTAATATTAATACTAATTATCATGGATTTTTAACTTATCAAAGGTGCTTGTCAAATCCACAAGATCTCACATGAAAACACGCATAACTACATTTCACTTGCACTGATGATTTCGGCAGCTGGTAATTTTATCCCTCTACTATTTATCTATAAAAGCATTTGTGCAATACCGGGTTTATTATCTAGTGCCCCAAATGGTTCTGTTATCGGC